AACAGCTTGAATAAAAGCACTGGTCCCTCACATTTTCGGCTACCTGCAAAATGACACGATGATCCTGGCAGTTCCCATCAAGCCGAACCTGCTGCTCCAGGGGGCAGCTATTGCTTTGCTGATCTTGTTGGCATCTGCCTCCCCTTCCCCCTTTTTTGCCATCTTGCCCCGTTCCGCGGTCTCTTAAATGCCAGTCTGCCACTCACCTTTACATACGGTTTTAACTCAGTCCTGCCTGTGCTTTCTGACTTTGTGGCTGTGACATTCCAGTTTTTATGGCTGAACTTAAGCAGGTGAAAGGGATGTGTTCTCCGCTTATCCCCAATGAAACCGGAACTCCTGGGAGTGTGTGTGTGTGTGTATGTGTATGTGTGTGCCCTGTGTCTGTGGCGATCCATTGTAGAGCACTTCTCCCCTACCCCAGCCCCACTGGTTTGCCATTACCTTCACATGCATTACCTCAGACGCCGTTTCATTGTATTGACTAAGACATCACTGATATAGAATCCATTTTGCTGTTGTTTTGAGATCAGAATACCAGGAATCCCAGTGCAGCCTCGACACCTCTCCACCTCCATCCCCGATCTCCACACACTCTTTTGGGCAAGAGGACAGAGCTTTCTTGTCCTTTTAATTAGATTCTGACTGCCCGGAAGGGGGTGAAGGGTGGTGTTGGTGAGGGCTGTAGTGGGGTTCTGAGAAGGACTGGCCACCAATTTTAAGGATGTTTTTTTCTCTAGAGGGTATACCTCTCCTTCCCCCACCCCACCCCCAAGTAAAGCAAATGCTTGTACTTGAGGCCTGGGGGCGGGGGTTGTTGAATTGATGGTTGCTCTCATCATAGGCAAGCAGTATGGTAAAGCATGGAAGTTCACAGTCCCTTTCACAGTACATTGTTACACTGATGCTACATCTCAGGGCGGTTTACCGGAATCTTAAGTAACTTCTGACATTTCCTTCTTTTCGATGGTTATTTTAAGAGCTATATATATTGTCAAAGTGGAACTTTTTCTTTAGACTCCTTGTTGCTCTCTTTCCCTCTCTCCTTCTCCTTAATCCTTCCATCCCAGAGGTGAGGCTTCTGCAAGGCAGTCAAGGGGTTGTAAAAGAACAGAAATACCATTGGAAGCTGTCTCTTCGGATAGCTGGGCAGCAGAAGCTCATTTATGCGTTATGGCAGTGTACAGTTTATTTCCCTGGTGCAGAAATGCCACATTCGGTGTCTGCTGTCCCCTGGGCAGCTGGGAGTGGGGGTTGGTATTAGGGTGGGTGCTTTGACCAAGTCTGTGGCTCCCTGCTTTACCGACTGTGTGTGTGCATTTGCCCTACTTTCTGCGCTGGGAGTTGCTGCCAGCCGGTTAATCAGGTGGATGGATGGCCGGGACTTCTGGGTTGGGGAGAGTGGCGGAGGGGGCGGGGGTAAGGAGACTGAACAATGGACCAGGCTTGTGATTTCCCTAGGCGGAATCTCCACGTAGCTCTTCTAATGGAAAGCGCTGTGATGTGATTTTAAGTTGGTCTTGGGCTTGGTCCGAGGTATCCCTTGTGGGCTTTTTTTTTTTTCTTCTCCTGTAGTGGATTTTCTGAGAAACCCACAGCAGAGAGCTCGTAGGCATATCGGCCACGGTTAGGACTTACTTGTGGACCTAGGGTGTAATTCACACACGCTAGACCTGTATTCCGGTGGTCAGTATTTTGAGAAGATATTTTTGCAGAATTCACTGAAATTGATCTTTGTGGCCTAGACTTAGTGTTCTGACTCTGTTTTTCTGTCTACAGGAGGGGTGGAAAAAAGGAAGTCTTTCTAAACCAGGAGCCTGGGCTACTGCTGACTATAGGACTTAATTGCAGATGTACAAACAATTGCATCCTCAGGGCTGGGGTCTGCCACCAGTCTTATGGTGGTTGAGGTGTGCAGGCTGGAAATGGGGTCAAAGGCCACATAAGTAATCTCCAAAATCAGAGGACAGATCATCTCTCCCTGTCTTCCCAAATTAGCAGAGGAGGTTCATCTTGATGAGAGGGCTCATTTGTTCCTAAACCCTCATGAAAGCTTGCCTGCTGAGAACCTCCTGGGGAATGCCTGACCCCTGAAACGCAGCCAAGGTCAGTGGTTTCTAGGAGAATTTGCTGCAGGCTTAGCAGCCCCTTACTGTTTCAGTGTTTCCTTAATGTACACAATCAATGCTCTTTTTGTCAACCCTGTGCTTAGTGCATTAAAAAGAGATCCTGACTGGAGAGGCCTTTATCTTTCTCACTTTGGGGCCTATTGTTCTCTGTCAGTGATCCCAGACTGGACCCAGTCTAAATTTTCTCCAAACAGCTACAGTGCATAATTTAAACCAGAGTAACCAGTGATAGTACACATTATTTAAATTATGCAAGGTTTGGATGGTTGTTTCAAAGTAAGATAAAATAAGATCTTTGGTTAAAAAAGAGGTGATCATAATCTAGTCTTACTACTATTTTTGATTTTGAGAGATCCAGAGATAAATTAAGTCTTGGGGGGTGATTTAGGAGGTGGAAGAGATTTGTAAAACATAGCTACTCCTTTTGACTATGCTGGGGAAGCTGAAGTCCAGAGAGGTGAAGTCTGTTGTACACCGCCCCTTTTCTGGGCGGAGGTGGGGTAACTACTGAGGAAGGCAGTTTGGGGAGAGATCTGGGTTTCCTGAATCTTCATGTAGTGCTGCTTTCGCTAAGTCACATGGTCTGTAGCTGAATCAGAAACCAATAATACCTTTATTGCTTTGGCACAACAAATGGCAGAGAGGAATAATTTTACCAGGGTCATGAAATACTGTCTGTGGAGAATAGAGAAACTGCTTCATGTAGGTAAGCTTATGATAGGTAACGCCATGGAGTTTTAAAGGTACTTTTGCAATCTATCTTGTTCAGCGCATCCTTCAGTTCCTCCTCTGCAGACTGAATCATCTAGACAGATGGTTGTCCTGCACATGACCTCTCTAAAACCCATCTCCATCTGAATATGTCCTAAGGAGGCAGTCTAGACATACACATTATTCAAATGTCTTTGCATGTGAGGTTTATAGAATTTTATGTGTGTTTTCTACAATCTATGTGGAAACATAGAGTATTATGGCTATAAGTATCTGTGTGGGTGTAGGAAATGTGTGTATACATACATAGGCTACAGAAAACAATCTACTCATTTAAAACCAGGGCTTGAGTCATTTTCCCTTCAAGACATAGCAGTATTAAAAGAAATGAAATTTGCCAGCAGTATGCTTTATTACAGATGAGGTGAGGTCAGCCCAGAAAGCTTTTTGGAGATTAGCATATATGTGAATTAAGCACCTTGGCTGTCCTTAGCTTGGCCCAAAGGGTAAGGTATTTAGGGCCCAAGATAGGCCATTGCTGACTTCATACTCTTAAGGTTCTGCCAATAGTCCCACACTCACTTTTCTACTTGAACAGAATTAGATGACCTCTGCTTGTCTCTACCCCTTTCTCTCATTCCCCTGCTGGGCTTACCTACTTTTTTCTTTATCAAAACATAGGTCAAAAAATGGAGCTCATCCTGAAGACTGCACACACCCCTCCTGCTATACTTTTCTTTTTGTTTTATAAATAGCATGGGCTTTCTTTTTGACTGCTCACTAAACTTTGCGCTCCTTGAGGGCAGAGACTAGGGCTTGCTCATCTTTATCCCGATCAGTTAGGGTATAAATGACCACATGCATATTAAGTGAATGCAGTAGACTTAACATGGTTCTGTGTCCACATCTTATTATTTCTGTGACTTCAGCTAATTCATTGAACCATAATTAACTTGAAAATGAAAATGATGAGACCGCCTTGTTTTCCTTATATGCTGGTTTTCAGGCACTGCATTTATGACAATACTTTGAAAACCAGAAGGTGCTTTATGTGCTGTACAATATTCCATGGTTGAATAGAATTTATGGGAAACGTGACTTGACTAACATTTGACCCCAGTGATTGTACCTAATAGAAAATGATCCTGAGTAAAAAAAATCAGAAAGTCCTGCCTCTTTTTTTTTCTTTTTTTGGATAGTCCCTTTGTTACAGTGGAGGGAGATGGCACCACCGAACCCCCAAACCTGCCTGCTCTAAATAGGTTTGGCCATCCGTCACATCAAGACAAGACATAAGAGCTTTAATGGAAAGGAATTTTAATACAATTAGTGTGCAATACAGAAAAGACAAAGAACATAGTTCCTAAATCAATCACGCAAAGTTACTCGTCCCCGGGTGGGTAAAAGTCCACCCAAAAGGGATTGGCCCAAAGCAAGGCCTGAAAGCCCTCCACAAGTCTAAAGCACCTTCTGGCCGGGTCCCATAGAAAAGGGTTAGATATGGCCAGACAAGTATGGGAGGAAAAGAGCAAAATCAAAATCAAGATTAACACTGCCATAGTGAACCTCTCCCTGGGTCTCTCACCCCCATCTGTTTCAACCAGTCCAGGACCAAGAAGAAGCAAGACAGTTTCTTCACATGTAGCTCTGCTCCATGTGCCTCCCTCAGGTCACCTTTATGGCTTCCATCCTGCTCCCCTCTTCTTCAGTCTCT